AAAGCATTCATTACATTTATGTAACATATGTAACATTGTTTTATTGTATTTTTTATGGAACACTGTGGTCCCAATTTGACCAGCATAATCCGTTTTGTGTCCATCACGTAATAACATCCCAAAGTCAGAGGGCTATCCGGATTTAGCACACCGTCCGGAGCGTTCTTACTGTTGACTCCGCCAAAGTTAGGATAGAATCTCGGAACTAGAGATAAAAGCTACAGGCTTTTGGATTTTAATCCAGCCACCCACTTGTTTTCCAGGACAGGGAAAGGCTTCTTTTCATGATATAGATGAACTCGTGAGGATTATTAAAACATTAATTAATAAAGCAAAATATCACTTTGGGCATAATTTTCATGAGGGGTTAGCAGTAAGACAAAGTTTAATGCTCGGAAAGTGGAATTTGCATAATATAAGCACTTTATGGATTGTATAATAAGATTTTTAAAACTCTTTTACCTGCCATAGGTTTCAAATATGTGGTTTATGAATATATGGCTTAAAGAAGTGCTGAATTCCTTATTATTAAAGGTTTTACATTTAATTGAAAATTTGGTGACATCTTCTTTATGCGCTAAGGGAATCATTTCTGCACAGACTGAAAGGATGAAGATGGTTGTTTTTTTATCTAGTAGTTCTATAAGCTCTATGTTAGGAATCCAGTTTGAGTGGGTTGTTTGTTTTTCTCTCTCCACCACCAGGTGTACCCTGTCCTTGGGCCTCCCTGCACACCTGCGGCTCGTTGGATCATTACTGGAGGAGTATATGAGCAGTGGGCTGTCACTACCCCGGCGCCAGAGTGTTTGCCAGCTTTGGGAAGCCTTCCTGAGTAACTGAATACTTGGACCTTCTTCCCCTGGAAGGATTAACTGAGAACACACTGAGCAGGGGGAAACCTCCACATGATCCGTTCGAGTCCTCTTCGGAAATCCAAGAGACAGTCTGCTCCTTTACTCCTCTGGGTCCAACTCTTGTCTTTCTGTCCGCCCTCCAACGAATTCCCTCTTCTCTGGATTAACCCCCACAAGCTGGATTCAAGGATTGACAAGAGCCCCATCAAACGTGAGTCCCTCACCAGTAATATTCAAGCCTCAGTCAAATTTCCTACGGTCCCTGAACTGATCATTGTGATCTCCCCTTCCGACTTTCCAGTTCCGGCTCACCAGTCCACTGAGTTCCAGATCCAACTTCTGTTATTCTTCTACATTTAATAAACCTGTAAAACTTTTTTCCTTGGTCTCTGAGTTGTTCTCTGCATGTGGGTCTATCGCTTAAAGCTAGTTTGATTTGATTACTGATTATGGGTAAAATATTTTTATATAATAGTATTTCAGCTGTGTCATATTTCATCATTCTATTGTTTCTAATATAGTTGGAAAAGAATAGCATACAGCAGGATTTGTGTTAACCTCATGCAGTTTAGTGAGTTTGCTTTTCTCACTGTGGCATCTTTACAATCTTTTTTTTTTCTTCATCTACAAAGTGAAATTTGTCAGAGGAAATCAAGAACTGCATTTCTGCAAATTGTCCCTTAGTGATTTCCTCTTAAAATAAAGTATTTTTTTTTTAATTTTCCAGTTTCTGCCACTACCTTTGCTAAATTACTAAAGGCTTATTCAGGTGTCCTTCAAGGCTGCAAACAAAAACAAAGTTGGTTTTCTGACAGCCAAATGAAATGGCTTCATTAGACCAAATTGTTATAACACAGAAATACATACTCAACAAAAGGTATTTGTCCCTCACCCTTAAAAAGAACTCTTTCATTATGTCATAAAGTTGCCCAAATTTTTCCAAACATGTTTTCACCTAAACCTCATGAAATCTTGCTTTTTGTCTTTATTCTTTTTAAAATCTGAACGACATAGAAAAGTTACCATTAGATGTGGCTCAGGTTGCATTATGGTTTATTCAAGTCAAAGCGGCAGTGATTCACAGTGTGCACAGATGGAAAAAAAATATAAAACCACATGTTTTTCAGTTTCATGAATCACGTGAGGCCAAGCTGTAAACGGATAACAAGACACCCTGCTTACACCTGTTCTCTTGTGCATGTTGTGAGCTTAGGAATGCTATTCAAGTTTACAAAGGCATACATTCAAAAGGCAACACTTAAAATGGCAGAACTGTACATACTCTTTTTTTTTTTTTCTGAGACATTTGTTTAAGCAGAATACTGTTTCGTTTTTTACATCACAGTGCAACACACTTAAGGCAAATCTCTGAAAAAAGCAACATGTTTCACAGAAAATGTACATGAATAAAACTCTACCCTTTTACACAAATATGATGAAAAATAGACTTATTTATAACTCATGCTTAAAGTGCCAGTTGAAACAACTCATATGTGCAAATTTTCACAAATATCTACACAAACTCACAAGAGCTCTGATGGGAAACAAGCAGATGCTAGAGCTGGATTTCACAGAGTTAGCGTAGGATCTGCTTTAACCTTAAATCACAGTTTAGTGCTAATAACGATACTTAGCGATATTTGTTAAGCTGCTTTGAACAAAGTTGTTTGAAATTATAGTCGAAACCTGAGGGAAACTTAAATAAATCAAAAATGTGTTTTTATTTTATTTAGAAACTGTTAGAGACAGATTGTTTCAAACCCATGAAGTGAGAAAGAGAAAATCTGCCTTTTTTATCACTTTGTAAACCCGTCTTCAAACATGTCAGATTACTGTTTTTTGCTTAATGTTGTGCAATCTTGATTTTCTGAAAACTTTTAACTTTCAAGGCTGTATTTTAACCTGAGAATTAATGAAGCCCCTTTTGTTAATCTTGTATTTCATTCTGAAAGGCTGTTGAAAAGAAAAATAGTTCCACTATAAAGTTTAGAGTCCCTGATATTTTCCTTGTGGGATTAAACCTGGTTGCCTGCTGTGTGTGCATTGTGCAGTCAGACTTCTACACAGCTCCAGCCTTGTACGTATTAGGAGATCCCACCAAGTATTCAGCTTATCAGAATTTCAGCTTGTTAAACTAAATTAGATTAATAAATAAACTCAAATCTTTTTTTGTTTTTGCAGAGGAAAATGTTGCAACACCCTTCCCCTTATGAGCTAGTAGTTTCAATATTCACTGAGATGATTCTTGTAGCCTTACCATCTATGTGATCAGTCTGAGGAAAGTTTGGTCCAGTCCTGCCTCCCGGCTGTGAGATGATTGAGCAGCCCGTTTTGAGTCACCCCTCAGCATATTATAGACATCATGAGCAGGACTTTGAATAGACACTGGACTCCGCTTTTCTCAAATTTTAGCCAATTAGTGGTATGTTTTAGTTACACTTCACCCCTCAGTTGTTAATAAAAGATCTCAGGCTCCCTCTGATACCAGAGAAATCAGAGGGAATTCATGGTGGATTGAGAGCTGGAGAGGCTCAGCCCTAGAAAAGCAAATCATAACACTCCTAACTCCATGCTCCACAGCTGGTATAGGAGATATTTTCTTGAAATGCTGTGCTTGGTTTATTTCAAACACTACCCAATCTGCTTTGATGGTCAGACCTGTGCATGTTAGCAGTTGTTTTAATTGTCCTCCACTTGTCGACCTTTTTTATAGGCATAGGGAAGCTGATTAAAAGCTGTTAAAATCGATAATAGATCCCTACACTGCAAAACATTTGAATCAAAGTCAGTGATTTTTTCTTGAATTAAGTATATATTTTTTTTCTTGAATTTAGGAGGTAAGTGAGACACTTTGCCAAGGGAAAAGAAAATGTACATTTAAAATAAGAAGAGTACAACAAATGTAGTTTCTTATTTTAAGTGCATAATATCTAAAGACATTATTGTAAGGCTAAACATACCCATTCCATCAAATTAAGGTTAAATACATTTATATTAATAATTCTTTACTTATTTTAAGATCATTTTAGCAGTGCATGGCTTTCACACTCACTGCAGCATTAAGGGGCACCAAACAAAGTGTCTGAGGATTAAATGGCGCAAACCTCCCTCAGAATGCTCAGGTAAGTTTTTCATCATCATGTCCATTTAAAGCAACTGTGTGACTGTAGCCCTTTTAAATGGGGATAAATATAAGGGTGTTCTAATTAATTCCTTAACCAAAATATTTCCTTAATTAAACTTTATGAACGATTATATAAGGTTTTCAATTCAGTTTATTATATTTTCAACTATTTTCTTGTTAATATTTACATTAGAAACTAATTTCTTCACATAACTTGTATAAATCTGTCCATGCTTTGCTAATTTTAGGTTTACTCTGTACGATATACAAGTGAAAACCTTTGAAAGGTATTGCCCTAAATTCAAGCAAACCAAGGTTTTCTTGTCTGATGTTGTACTTAAATAAAATCTAGTTTAGGCTAAAAAGCTTTTCAGAGTTACTGTGACTACAAAATGTGTTCTTAATGACCCATAATACAGTTTGAAATTCACTTTTTTTGCTTTGCAACTAAAACACCCAAAATGAAATAAACTCTAACGCAGAAATATGTGATTTTTACAAAAAAAAAAAAAAACAAGAATCAAACATATTTTTAAAACCTTCAACCAAAATCAAACTAAAAAGATAAATTTGATTTGACAACTATCAATATTCAACAAGTTTCAGTAGAATGTGTTAAACAGAAATAAATTAGAGCCCACCTACAGACTTTTTATAATAAAAACTATAAATGAAGGCTAGTTGAATTGAACCAAAAGGCTAAAAAAGTCAAAAATTTTGCCAAGGCTTTACAAGATTTGTTTTCTAGTTTTACAAGAACTCACTTTGGCTTTTAAATTAAATTAAAAACACCAAGAAAACCCCCAGAATTTAGCGGTTAAATCCAGTTTCACCAATAAAAAAGCCCCTCCTTTGGTAAACAGAACAAAAATCCCTCAAATTTAAAACTTATGATGCCCTTATACAATAATTATCATTGACTGTTTTACTTATTATGCACAAATATGCATGTTATGTTTTTTTTTAAAAGGCTGACTTATTTCTTTGAATCCGAGTTTGAAATTTGTAGCAGCTGTGCATTGTTTTTTTTTTATGATGTTAATCAGCCTTTCATTTACAGCGTCTCACTCCTACTTTCTTCTTTCACCCCTCTATCAAATATGAATGCTTCAACAAGCCTGCTGGTACACCTGAATTTCCCTATTCTGGGACAATAAAGGTAATTTCTATCAATGTTGTATATTTCTAAGGTCATATGATGACCATATATACAATGCAACATCACCATTACCTCATAATTGTAAGTTATGATCGTCTTACAAGGCAATGCTTTGATTTCCACATGAGGCAATGTTTTGATGATGTTATGAAAGGCAATGTTTAGTTCTTCTTATAGAGTAGCGTTGTGGTGCCTTAAGGGGCAATGTTATTATCTCCTTATAAAGCAATGTTCTGATTGCCTCAGAAAGTAATGGTATGATTAGTTTATACAGCGATGGCATTGGCTTTTAAGGCAATGTTGTGATTGTTGGATTACCCAGTTATGATTGCCCTTAATTAGAAAATGAATGATGATTACTTTACAGGTTATATTGGTGATTACCTTGTTAGGCAATGTTATGATTGCCTTTTTAACCTATAAGGGATTATTATGATGAAAGCAAAGACTAATTTTATAATCAAATCAAAATTATGAACCAATTCTAAGATCGCCTTATAAGGTAATGTTTCAGGGTATTTTTTTTATAATGGAATGTTGTGACCACCTTATAAGGCAATGTTTTGATCTCCTTATAAGGCAATGTTTTGATCTCCTTATAAGGTGATGTCTTCTTTCCATTCTCATCACATTGCTCTCATTTTAAAGTAATCAAACGATGTGCAATGTTTTCAGTTTTACAGAGGATTATTCTCTCACACAAAGTTAAATCTTCATCTCATTCCTAGCTGTCTAATGTGCTTTAAATATAACATATACAATGTCTTTTTCCAACTGTGATGCTGGAAAACTACCATTCCAGTCTTTACATTCATAGAACACTTAACAGATAGTTACTGCAGAATAACAGCAGCATCCACAGATATATGCTCTATGTTACTGCAAGCCCGTCTCACTTATAAGCATTTACTTTGTCGATCATTTACAGCAGACCTGGAGCACAGCACTGGACACTGACTACAGCAGAAATACCTGAAGGGAATCTCGTCGCTCTCTTGGAGCTCCTTACAGGAAGCTAAGACACAAGAGAGCCTGCGAGCAGCAGAAAATCTCTTTGAAGGTCTTCCTCATCTCCTGGCTGCGAAAAGCGTAGATGATGGGGTCAATGACAGAGTTGCACATGATGAGGATGAGGTACATGTTGAAATGGGACATGAAGCAGGTGCAGTAGGGGTTCCTGGGGCAAGTGATCATGAGGATGAGGTGCAGAAAGAAGGGTGCCCAGCACACCACAAACACCCCAAGCAGGATGGTGAGGGTAATGGCACCTTTCATGTTGGCTCGCTGCTGGATGGGCGCGTTGCCCGGCAGGGCCGCAATGCGCTTCATGTGCAGGCGGGCCAGGAGGAACATATGCACGTACAACGACGCCATGAGGACCAGCATGGTGAAAAACATGGTGATGAGGCAGATGAGCACAGTGGTGCTCTCTGAGTAGATAATGAACAAGATGCCAGAGACGGTGCAACACGTCCAGATGCTGCCAATGACCAGCATCGCTCGCCGGATGGTGACAATGTTGTGGTATCGAAGTGCGTAGAAGATGGTGATGTAGCGGTCGACGGCGATCGCAAGCAAGCTGCAGATGGAGGCCAGCAGAGAGCTGCAGATCATGGAGTCAAAGACGTTGTCCATGCTTTTGATCAGCGTGACAGGGATGGTCAGGGTGCCTCCATTGATCAGTGCTATGACAATAGTCTCTGAGGCGTTGGAGACACTAACGAGCATGTCCGCAACAGCAAGGCTGCAGATGAAGAAGTACATCGGGGAGTGAAGGTTCTTGTTTTTGATGATGGCAGCAACCACCAGGATGTTCTCCAACAGGCTGATGATGCCTAGAGTAAGGAACACCTCAGTGGAAATCAGCAGCTGTTCGTAGCATCCAGCAGAGGAATCCTTCTCCTCTCCAGATAAGTCTTTGTCTGCCAGAGTTCCAGAGCAGAGACTCCTGTTCAGGTAGCCAGGGATCAATCCTTGCTGAGCTGTGGAGTTCATGTTGACTTCTTCCACCTCCTTTGGCTTAGATCTTCTTCTCTTTCTTGTAAAAAGTCTTAAAGCTCAGCACATGTGGCTTTGAAACATCCTCAATCAGAAATGATAACAATGTCTAACTTGTGTATATTCTTCCCTTTATCATCTTTCAGTCTTTCCAGGAGAAATTCAGCTCCTCCTCAAACATCTGCCGTTGTTTTATTCTCTACCAAAAAAAACAATCCTGCTGCTTTGGTGTAATGAGAGGCGACAAGAAATGTTCACTAAAACAAGGTGAGGAAGATAAGAAGAGAGGAAACCAGGCGAGGGTGGAAAATAATCAGCTGGATCCAGAGAAGCAGAGTGCAGCAGCTTGTCGTGTGACTGATCATCACTTCACGATGGCTGTGGTCTTTTCCTGGTCTCATTTTCTCTCCCTCTGCTGAGGTACCACACACACACCCTCAGACCATCCTATCAGCTCACAGATAAAGAGGGAGGAGGAGGAGCAAAGTTTGGGCTGACGCATGACTGGAGCTTTTAAAGATGAATTAAATGTTTCACCTATTCAAAACCTTTCAGAAATGTGGATGGGTAATGTGGTCAAGGCATTTAGCAAGCGGCAACATTTTGCCTATCACGTTCCATCCTATACAGTAAATACGTATGCAGTTATTGTAATTTCTTTGGCTGCTAAATGCTGAGGAAACAGCAGTTTGTTTCTGTCTCAGTTTAAAGAAATTAACAATCAAAAATTTATTGTAGAAACCTGCATTGATTTTGCCAACAATATTTTTTCAACTCATCATTTCTTCTAATAAAAGAAACAGTTGGACAGTTTTCATAATTGACAGAATAGAAAAAAACAAATATGAGGAAAAGCTCTACTGAGATAATTTCATCTTTGTTTCTAATTAGTTGTTGATAAGTCACTGGGTTTGTCAAAATCTCAAATACGCAGTTGTTTTCTCAGGAGGCTGAACTAAGGTGAAATAGGGTGAGACCATAAGCCTACCCAGTGTCCAAATCATGGCGGCACCTGGCAGCAGGACCTCATACAGCTCTATACATCTCCACAGTAGGGGTGCTTAATGTGTTAATTCCCCAGATGCTATTCAGACTGTCCTACTGGTTGTGTGTTAGAACAACAAATGAAAGTGTGAATTGAGCTAAAATCATGGTCAAACAGATAACTTTGTATATATTTAGAATAAATTCACAACAACTTCCCTTCAAAATCTAAGAATTTATTAACACAATCATGCTGCTCCAAGTCAAACATATTTCAGATAACATATCTTGACTAAACTAGTGAAACTCAAGTAAACTAGGCTACTCTGTAAAAAGAAGTGGGGAAAAATGGTTTAAAAACATATTCAATAAAATTATGCAATTATATAATCATTTAGCGTGTTTTTTATGTTTAAGAACCAAAGTTTATTTTGAAGAATTTGGAATTTGGTCAAATTAGCTTTTGGCCTATTTACAACAATTGGAATATGGTCAGAATTTATAATGATAAGAATATGTTTAAACCAATTCACAATGAAAGCCAAGAGGTAATTAAAGCATTATTTGGTGAATAATGTTTTATTAAATCTCAATCATAAATAAATAAGCTTTAGTTAATTAATCCTTAACCATTTTAGCTAGGAGCTAGCTAAATGATTTTTGTTCATAATTCGGTAATCAAAATTTAATGAGAAAATGAGAAAACACATGAAACACACACCTTGGTATGAGTGTGATGTGACATTGACTTGGGCTGCATAAGGGTTGCAGGAGCTTGAGTATCCGAACAGCAGGCAAACCGTAATTCTCCTCACAAATGGTGCTGAGCGGCGGAATAGTGGTTAGAGCACTGCACTTAGCACCCACAGGTTCTGAATTCAAGTCCCACTCCCACAGACTGCCACTCTGGTTCCCTGTGCAAGACCATTACCCCTTGCTCACACGGGCTCCGGTGCGGTTACCGAGCCGACGGAGACCGCAACTCCCGCACACCCCCTCTCACACCGCCCTTTCGACTACGGTGCGGTGCGGCTCTGCGGCTCCGGCAACAGGTCCGGAGATTTAACTCGTGAAAACAGAAGTTCACTTGAGTTCACGTAACTTCACGCGATAACATGGCCCAAATAAGGATATTTGCGTGAGCTTGTTGCGGAGGGCTCCGGCACGCCGCAAGGATAGCTTTCTTGCTGAATTTTCTGCAGCGCCGGAATGTCTCGGTAACCGCAGCTGGACAGCTCAGCAGCCGGTGAGGGGGTTTACGTCTTTTTAATGACTTGGAATCACTGCGGCGCCACACCCACCGCACCGCAACAGTAAGACCGGAGTCGGTGTGAGCCGGGGGTTAAACCCACACTGCTCCCCGGGCGCCGCACAGTGGCAGCCCATTGCTCCCCAAGTGGATGGGTCAAATGCAGAGGGTCAGATTGATAAAGTTAAATATTATTATTAACCCAATGGATATATCAATATAGACATTGGTTATCAGGGCTGTCAACTGTCGCCCACTGATCGTGAGACTCCCATATTTCAGTGTCTTCATACTCTCACACTCCATATCCCCAAATTTTTCACACTGAAAAATGATAGAATAAGGAAGTGGCCAGCGGTAAATCCAACACAATGGGAGCATTCACTGCCCTGCTCTCACCTTGTGCTGCCAGATGGAACTGAGGTGTTGTCAAACAGCAGCACCGCATGGAGAGCAAAGCAATGACCGCTGAAGTTGAACTGAGCGGAACTTCTCTGTGAAATCACGACCTGGAAACCAGTCAGAGACTAGTTGTAGGTGAAGCCTTTTTCACTTAAAATGGAATACAGAGATAAATAATGTTAACAAAGGTAGAAATAATGAATGCTGAGATTTTTAGCTGGCTTTAAAAGAAGCCATTTTAATTTAGTCCTAGAGGGACATTTCATCATCCTTCCTTACCTCCAGCTCAGACCTCAATATTTTGCTGCCCAGCATCAGTGTTTTTGGATTATCAAGGAAGTACCGCTGAATAAGACCGACATTCAGATGTATCTCTTGATGAACCAAAGTGGACTTTTTTTTACTACTTCCAAAAATAAATGGTACTCCCAAGGTGATTCGAAAGTTGTGCATAAAGAACAATTTAAAAGCAGTGTGTGATATTAAGTTTCACTTGTGCTTATATTGTAAAATGCTACCAGCGAGACCTTGACAGGAAATGCTATGGCATTGCCAGGGGTAACCACAGGTCCAAAGCGCAGGGTAAGGAATGCTGTGATGATTAAACAATCATTCCAGCCACTAAATAAGGTAAACATGGCCACTGTTATATGCATGACGAGCACAGGAAGGACATGTGTTGTTATGCAATATCTATATATCTGGAAACGAGATATATAGAGACGTTATCGGCCGAAATTAGAAATGATTTTATCTTAAAAACCAAATCAGCACTAACAATAGTTTTACCTCCATAAATCAAGTAGAAATAAAAAAGTTTTATTTAGTTCAAATTGGGGGATAGTTGACCTCTGGAAGACCTAAAAATAATGAAACAACAGTAGCACACCTGATGCAGCTTCGTGCTCCAATTTGATGACGCTGTCCATGGTGCAAACACCATGCATCTGGGATGCTGAGTGAACTCCCTGCGGGGCTTGTGGAAATCACCACGGACACTGTGTTCAGTTGGAACGACCATGAGGATGTTTAGTTTCTTCCAAGCAGTCAACAAACCCCTCTCATCCAGACACTTTGTAGCCTAGTAGGATGAGGGAAAGCCTAAGTAAATACTTTATAAAGTGAGCAAATCAAACTCAGCAAAATATTAGAATCAATATTTTAAGGGATGTAATAGGAAATAAATTTTTCAGACCATTGGCACATACTCAATTTTCTCACAAAGTAAAGTCAGTGCACGCTATTAAACTTTTCTCTTATTTCTTTGAAAAGTGCCGTTTACAATCTGTATTTATACATTGTTCGCATTATATCCATCCATCGCTCTTAGCGCTGGCACTCGGTTTGAGACTTGACACCTTCTGTTATTTGTTTTTACAGACTTCATCAAGCCGCAGGTTTTCAGGCATTATTTCCATCTGCTGTGGTGCTTGAGATGCGTGGGGATTGTTATGCTGCATTGTGCTACATGATCAAACTACTGATTATTCCTTTTGTTTCTATGTTCCTTCTTTTCTAGTCTGTAACAGTCCATAACCTTTGTGTTCACCACAATAGAAGATTTAAGTGATGTGCACAAACTTTTTGAAGGGCAGGGATGGAATGAAAAAAAGTCAAATGTAGCTTATGCACACCACTGCAGGTGGCACTTTAGCACATATTTTGGCCGACTGGACCGGACCGGGCATTCCTACCGAGCAATCAGCTACGGCGCTGGTCCGGATCCGGAGTCAGCGGGGGACGTCTCCGGGTTTGGTCGCTCCCTCCCCACGTCTGCCGGAGTTCCCGAACAAACCCTTTTGCTGATGGCTCAGTCCTGCTGCACTGTGATCGACCAAAATCCCAGACAATTTGGAGATATATGTAAATCTAAAATATATCATATTTTAAAATTGGTTGTATTTTTTAAATGCATGTTATTGTTGGATTTTATCAGATGCATAGCAGTCAATCAATGCATTTGATGCATCCTCTTCTTCTTGTAGCAGATGAATTAGGATGTCTTGCCCAAGTAGCAGGTCAGGATAATCTTTGGGTCAACGTGCTTCTCTTCTCTATCGCATCAACAGCACTTAAACACAATGTGCTTGTATTTTCTACTTTTCAAGTGGAAAGGATCATCTTTACCAGATCATATAGAGGCAGCATGAGCCTGTTAGCAGACTTGTAGATTTTACTTTTTTAGCAGAGGAAGGAAGCACCACTGAGTGAAAAGTAGTCCTACATTTTCCACTAATACAGGATCATAGACTCCAGGACATGCATATTTCACACCAGGGTTGGGCCCAATCTGCAGTTTTTTGCTGTATATTTTTTTTTATTTGTTTCTAAACAATGAATATAAACTGGTCCAGAATACTTTCAACGTTCTCATGAAAAAAAAATTCAAAACTTTGCACTTAAAATTTACTTAGTGATTTACACATTCTAACCAACATCAACAATTTGTTCATACTCATAGATAAGTAATAATCAGGATGTGTTTAATGGTGCATTAATTGATGTGAATAGAATTCATTAGATGTTTTAGTTTTTAGTTAATTATAATATTTTCTTAACTGAAATCATGAAAAAAAGGAAATAGATGTTTAGGCAACCTGATCATTTTTCATCTTTTTTTTCAATAATAGCCTAACTACAATATCATAAAAAAGCAAGCAGAATTTGTCCTAAAAGAGGAATTGATGGATAATTAGCATTATGTTTAGATTTAAGGCCTGTTTCCAGCCTGCAAAAGAACCTCTAT